GGGTTTTGGGTTTTGCGGTTTTGGGGTTTTGGGTTTAGGGTTTAGGGGTTTAGGGTTTAGGTGGTAATTTAGGGGCCTAAATAATTAGCTATCCTTTTTTTGGGGGGCTTCCTTGTGCTAATACAAGTAGAATGGACAGCAAAACCCTATTTTATTTATTAAGGCCCCTACATTACCTAGTTCTGTGGTTTAGGGTTTTATGGTGAGGATGTATGACCCCCTAGGTACATTACACCCCTACAGTATTCCTTATTAGGCGCCCCCACTACTCAACCCCTATAATATCAGGTGGGATCAAGGTAGGTAGGATGAAGATTCCCATATATATATATATTATGTATATTATGTATACTATGTATATTATGTCTATATGGTCTCTTAGTTCGGGATCAGATCAACCCACCGATCTTCATACCACCTTTGGAGCCCTTCGCCAGTATTCCTCTGGGGCTTAGGGCGTTTAGGGTTTGGGGTTTGAGCCTTCAGGAGCGATGAATCAGCTTACTTCCGGTGTTCAGACTTAGGGTTTAGGGTTTAGGGTTGAGGGGCCTGAACAATTACCTATACTATTTTGGGGGCTCCTTACTATAGCTATAGTATAATGGGGCCCAAAACCCTATTTCTAGTAATGAGAGCTCCTATAGTATACAGTTTGAGGTCTCGTGGAGTTGCCCTGGTTTCGCAATTTGAGCCGCAGGGTTCGGACTCGCAGTCAGGGACTGGAAGGCTTATAGCTGTAAGTACCTATAGCCTATAGGCTATAGGCTCCATTGTAGTTCCTTTTTGTGGTCTTATATTTAGGATCCTATAAGGTAATCCCAAAAAGCAGCCACAATGGAGCCTACAGGTAGTCCGTGAGTACTACGTAGGAAACTTGCGGAACTTTGGGATTGAGTTTGACAGATGTCGAAGATGCCGGCCCGACCACCCTAGCGTGGCTTTGGATACCCGGCCCCTGGCTCTGACTGTGGGGTTTGGTTTAGGGTTTAAGGTTTAGGGTTCAGGTTTAGGGTTTAGGGTTCAGGGTTCAGGGTTTAGGGTTTGTTGAGTGCTCTGACTGTCTCGAATAGCGTCTACCGCGTACATGGCGGGGGAAGCCAGGCAGTCTAACAGAAGGTCACCTGACAGCCTGACAGTCGAAGTATCGGAAGCAAAACCAAGGGCTTGAATGCTTCGCCATACTATTTATATTGGGCTCTCCGGTATCGTTAGAGTATAGAACCCCTAAACCCTAAACACTAAACCCCTAAACCCCCAAACCCTAAACCCCTAAACCCTAAAGCCTAAACCCCTAAACCCCTAAACTCTAAACCCTAAACCCTAAACCCCTAAACCCTAAACCCCGAGGCTTCCAGCCCTATCCGCAGAACTTCAAGACGCCACGACAACCCGATACAAAGCCCTCAGCAGCCGATGCTTGGACATCGTATATACATATACGTATATACCTACATGCATGCATGCGACAAAGACAAACAAACCAAATACAAACAACAAGCAACCATCCAACCCAACAGCCAGACAAGAGAATCAAAGAAACACACATCCAACCACACAGCCATATAAACAGACTAGCAGACAAACGCATACATAAACAAACTATGTATGTATGTGTATATATATATATGTATATTATGTATGTATACACATGCACACACACACACACACCCCTAAACCCAAAACCCTAAACCCTCAACCCCTAAACCACACACACACACACACACATCTATCTCATCGGGACTTCGGGACTTCTGAGCGACTCCTCCAGGCGCAGCAAGACGCGGAGGGTTCAGGCCGCCGAGCCTCCACAGGTTTTTACCGTGGTGTTTAGAATTGACAGAGTTTAGGGTTTAAGATTTAGGGTTTAGGGTTCAGGGATTAGGGTTTAGGGTTTGGGGAAAGGGGTTTGTTCTAGAGTTTGCCTAGGGTTTGGTTCAAGGGGGTGTTGGTGTTATGTACCATTGAGCTTCAGGGCTGACTACCGGTTGGAATAGGGGTGTTACAATGCTCCTTATCCATCCTCGGCTTAGGGCTTAATAATATAGGGGCCTGAATAATTACCTACACTATTTTGGGGGTTCCTTATTATGATAAAAGTACAATGGGCCCCAAAACCCCATTCTAATTCTTAAGGCCCCTACCTACATTGGGGGTTTCTGCGGACACTGGCAGCTGCCGATCGGTTGTGGACGCTGGTATGCTGTTCATGCCTCCACGTGGCTGGAGGATTCCGGTCCGTCTTCGAGGTTCCTTAAGCCACGGAAATTCAGAAATGGTGCAGCCGATCCTTTGCCCGTCCTTCAGAAGCCGGACGGCTCCCTGTGCCAGTCCACCGCTGAGGTGGCAGAGACCTGGCGCGAGCATTTTGGAAATCTCACGGTTTAGGGTTTAGGGTTTAGGGTTTAGGCTAAAACCGTCACCACCAACGCCGTGTGAGCTTGTCCAAAGATGCCGTGCCACACAGGCCTCTCGTGAGGGCCTAGACTCCTTGTCAGCTGCAAGTGATATAGGGGCCTTAATAATTAGAATAGGGTTTTGGGGGTTCCTTAGTAGAACTATAGTATAGTATACCCCCAAACCCTGTTCGAATTATGAAGGCCATTCGCCCCCCGAAAACCTGGGGGTCCGGACCTCTTGCCTCCGGCGATATGCCGGTTCTTCACTGTAATATATCCCCAAACTCTGTTCTAATTATTAAGGCATATTAGGGGTTGTTCAGTGCCCAGCTAACGGACCTATTTTGGCCTTTGCTGCTTAAGACGGATTGTCGGGCTACAGGCCTGAAGGGCGGCGTGATGTTCCACATCAGCAAGGGGAAGCCGGGATTGAATCGCACCTGCGCGGCTCACCGAGGGATGCTGGCGCAGTCGTGCCTGCCGAAGGTGTTCTGTGCTTGGATCGTTTGGCTTCTGGGACACGTGGTCACCAAGCTCGTCTCCGGCAAGTCGGCCCGGCTTTTCATTCGGACCCAACACCGGGCGCCTTTTGCAAGTCCGACAAAGAACCCGACAAAGCTCACTTTGCGAAGGAGCCCTGTCAGGCTGACCGCGAGTACATGGAGGACATCCTGCGGGCATTGAGTGTTTAGGGGTTTGGGGCGCCGCTATACCGTTAACTGCAGGATTATAGCTGTGCGTTTTGGGTTCGGGCGTTTGGGTGCAAAATCAGATTGCGCAGGATATTCTCGTAGGGCTTTTATCATAAAGGCTCATATGGTCTAGGGCCTAAGGCTTCGGGTATTCGGGTTTATACTGGTTCACGGTTGAAGGGGGGGGGCTCTTGGGTTCAATGAAGTTAGGGGGTTTCGATTTAGCGCTCTGTTGGAACTATATTTGATATTTGAGGGCTACTTGTTCTGAAGCGTTCTTGCCGGGTGCTTTCTCTCTTGGCTTTTGCACAGACCGTATCAAGAAGTCCTCTTAACCACACCAACCCTAAACCCTACACCCTAAACCCTGAACCCTAAACTCTACATCTAAGCCCTGCACCCTAAATCCTAAACTACATAAGGTTTGGGTTTGAGCCAAGGCAATGCGGCTTAGAGCATGGAGTTTCTTTTGGGGTTTAGGGCTTCGGGCTCAGGGCTTAGGGCTTAAGGTTTAGAGTTTGGGCTCTGGGGCTTCAGGTTCAGGGGGGTTTAGGGTCTTTGGGCTCGGGAGATCTGGGCAAGAAGCTTTATCTCTTTTCGGGTTAAGGGCTTTCAATTGGCATAGGCAGTAGGAGCTCTATCGGGGCTTCGATGGTCGCAGGGCTTTGCGTTTAGGGTTTGGGTCTTAGGTCGTGTGCAGCTTTGCTCTGGGGTGTTCCGACCAATGTGTTTCGGCCTAAACCCTATACCTAAACCGTCACGTGCGGAAGTTTCAAGTCAGGCCGATTGAAGATCGGATTGATTGATTGTGAGGTAGTTTTCTACATCAGGGTCCTTTTAGGGCTCTTTTTATAAGGGTGCCGTACTAGAAGGGGGCCTAAAGGCTTTAAAGAGATCCTAATTTAGAGAACTGCCCATGTGTGTTGCTCCGTTTCTGCCCAACCAAACCCCAAAGCCTATATTCTAGGACATTTCCAGGTGGGTAGTTACCGTTAAAGGAGCCTTATAGAAGGTCTATATACCTTGTAGAAGCCTTATAGAAGCCCTATATACCCTAAACTCCCCACGTGCAGTTTCCTTCAATATACACTCCCTTAACCTCAACCTCCTTAGCGCTGGAACCTCAAATCGGTAACCCTACCTTTGACTACCAATACCTCCATGTTGTAGGGCCCCTACAAAGTCTATGCTATGCTAGGGTTTATAATAGGAGCCCACAGCTTTAAAGCCCTCAACCTGTATACACCTAAACTCTAAGGCCAACAAAATAGGTTATAGTCGGTTAAGGTACAACTTCCTTGAGTTGAGTAGGTGGCAAGCTTGCAGCTGCGCTGGCTGCTCGTCAGGCTCGAATTAAGGAGTGTCGTGGCTCAGTCGGTTTCGGATCAATGGGTTGGGTTTAGGACTTAGGGCTTATAGGGTTTAGGGTTCAGCGCGTTGCGAGCTTTGGAATTTTAGCGGCGTCAGGGTTTAGTGCGCTTAGGTTTTCTGGTGCTGAGGGTTTGGTGCCCTGCACGAAGCCCCTCTAAACTGTGCCCTTTTGGAAAAACTGGAATGATTGCTTCAATGGATGTCGTGCCCGAAACGCCTGCATAATCCTAGTAGAGCACCCTGGAATTCCTTCTTCTGAATTAGAGATGCTTAAAGAGTGGATCTGGAATCTCCACATAAAGCCCCAGGAACCCGTGCCAACAGCGCCAGCCCTCCACTAAACGGCCCCCTACCCCCCTCCGCCCGCCTTGACCCCCTTCAAGCTGCCCTGAACCCAAAGCCCTCAAGGAGCCTTTAAAGGAACCCTAAACCCTGACCGGTGAAGGAGCCCTTAGGGAGCCTGTAAAAGAACCCCAAACCCAAAGCCCCTAAGGAGCCCTGAAAGGAACCCTAACCCCTTAAGGAGCCCTTGAGGGAACCCTATAAACACTAAACTAACCCCTTAAAGGAGCCCTTAAGAAACCCTAAACGCTTAAGCAGTCCTTAAACAAAAACCTAAACCCCAAACCCTAAACCCTAAACCCCAAACCTTTAATCCTTAACTGAAGGACCCCTTAACCCCTAAAGGACCCCCTAAAGGACCCCTAAAGGACCCCTTAATAAAGGAGCCCTAAAACGGGTCCTTGTGATTCAGGCCGCCGAGAGCCGACTCTCAGCGGCTGAGGCCTCCCTGCGCGCCCTGGAGGTGGGGTTGGGTCTACCCATAGGCCCCATAGTCGTTCCTTTTTGTGGCTTATATTTAGGATGCCATTAGGTTTAGGGTTTGGGGTTTGGGGTTTAGGGTGTGGGGTTTAGGGGTTTTAGGGGTGTAGGGTTTTAGGGGGGTTTAGGGGTGTAGGGGTTTGGGGGTTTAGGGGTTTAGGGGCTTAGGGGTTTAGGGGGTTTAGGGATTTTAGGGGTGTAGGGGTTTAAGGGGTTTCAGGAGTTTAGGGGTGTAGGGGTTTAGG